TATTATATTATAAATGTATAAGATAATAATTACAATATAAATAGTCCTGGGTATCCAACTTTCTTCTCAGTCTGGGAGATAATCCCTTAGTGTTGGGGTGTGTTAGCGTGCCGGCCAAACCGTGACGAGGGAGCAAGAGTTTCTGCTGCTCACGCAATACCAGTTTCCCGGATGGCCCTAAAATGTTTTGTAGTTTTGTGTGGCAGAGATACGTGCCAGTAGCCTCTTAAAGGCTTGAAGTCACTTTTGTCGTTCACAAGACTGTGTGTGTGCTCAGATCTGGAAGTGGGGAAGCTGGAGGTGAGGGTAGCTTCTGGTGCCGAGTTTCGGTGTGTGGATAATGTTAACCCAGGATTCATGTAATTTTTTTGTATGGAGTTACGAGTCGTTGACGTATTTAAATCTGAGGTTTGCAAGCGCTGTAACACGAGTCACGTACCAGCTGAATCACACTTCTGTGTGAGTTTTGGATCAATGACGCCTTTCATGCCCTACCCCTGTCCACCAAGAGCGCGCAACTTGCAGTAGCCCAACTGCTCAGCTCATGCTGGACCAGCTCCTGCTTTCTACCTGGAAAACTGTCACTTTATCAACACTTTTGCATCAGGCAAAATGCTAGTTATCATATCAGAGTTGCGTTTTTTGGGAAGGTTTGAATAAAGGTGTTTGAAGGCCATCATGCAGATGACTTTGTGGAGCTGCCAACTGGAGCACCTCTTCAGGGATCAGGGGAAAAGTGTTCAAAAACTGGAATGTTTGTGCTGGCTTGGGAAAATGAGCTGTCTGCATTCAGAACTTAAATGACGCTTGCTAAACGCTTTTGCCCATGACATACCCCAGCCCGATTTAGCAAACTCGGATCAGAACCAAAAGTTGGCCTCTGAAGTTTGTATATTTTAAAGCAGCCTTCTGGCCAAAAGTCCATGTTATAGGTTTAGCCAGTGATATAACCAGAAGGAAGTGTGATTTAAACTCAGATAAAGGTATAAAATCACCTGGGGAAATTAGATGTGGCTCTGCACTTCCCTTTGTGCCCACTGTTGGCATATATTTAATAGGAAGATTATGCATCAATTTAGGAACAGTGTAAATAAACTAATTAAATAGTGAGCTTGACAGCACGCATTACTAGGAGATAATACAACTGGGAGATAATAAACAAGAACAGACCATAAGAAAAGCCTAGCTTATAACAACTGGGAAGTTTGGTTCGTACAGTAGACATGTCTAGGACTGTTTCTCTGTCATTACACTGTAATGATAAATCCTGCCTTCAAGATTGTTTACAGGCTTATTGTTTATTACTGATTGCATTAGATTAATTACATTAATTAACCATGAAATGTCATTAATTTGTGTATTCTTTAATTGAAAGCATACTTTTCATTAAAAGTAGAATTCATTGGCAAAGGTATTAGTTTATGAAATCCAAAATTTACGTTTAACCCCCTGATGTCAGTGGCTCTGAAGGGTATAATGGTGATGGTTGAGTCACCATCCCTGGAGGTATTTAAAAGACAGGTAGGTGCGGCGCTTAGGGATATGGTTTAGTGGCGGACTCGGCGATGTTAGGTTTATGGACTCGAGGATCTTAAGGGTCTTTTTCCAACCTAAACGACTCTATGATTCTGTGAAACATGGTCACAACAGCACCGCGGGTGATGGGGTAACACTGCCTAGGGCTGGTGGCATTGGTTTAAGAAAGGGTGCAGCGCACAGGGTTGTCCACGGTGTGTTAGTTCACGGTGCGCCCTTAATGGTTTTCCTTAGCAGAGCTCCAGCTGGAAGCAAATGTTATTCCATCTGCTCAGATAAAATTGCAGTGTGTCTGAGACAGGAGGTGGAAAGAACTGGAGCTTGTTAGAGTAGAGGAGGTGGGGGATGAGACAAGAGAATATGGCTCAGGTCACCATAAAGAGAAAAGATAAACTGTTGTGTTAGCTGCGGGGGGCGGAACGAGGTGGAATGGGTTTAAACTAGACCAAGTGAGGTTTTAGCTGGACACCAGGAAAAGCCTGGTGTTAGTAAGGATAGTGTATCATGAGACTTGTTTGCTGGAGGAATCCGCGGATGCTCCGCAAGAGGAATTTCTGAGACAGAACCAAAGCTGTGTCAGGAATGGCTGATTCCGTCTTGAGATGGGAATAGCTAGATCATTCTTTGTGGCTTCTTCCAGCTGTGTCTTCTATAATTGTGTGTGTGTATGTGTGTGTGTATATAAAAATATAAAACTTAGATTGCTGTGTTGTTGCAGTCCTGCCATCAGAGTAAGAAGTTATCCCAAGGTGTCGCCTTCAATTAATATTATCAGTAAAAATCTGACCTAGTCTGAGGTTAATGGAAAAATATCCACTGACTTCAGTGATTATTCTTAAATTTTTTTGTGTGTGTGAAATCTTAAAGAAAATATAGTGCTCTGTTCAAAGAAGAACCATGGTTCAGGAGGGAACTCGGGAGTAGTAACTGGCAGCATTTATTTAAAAAAAAAAAAATTTACTGTCTCGTCAGATACTCTTAAGTGTAAATCCTGAACGCTTTCCAATTCTTAATTCCAGATCATGTTTGAGACGTTCAATGTGCCAGCCATGTACGTAGCAATTCAGGCAGTGCTGTCTCTGTACGCCTCTGGAAGAACGACTGGTGAGTCTTTCCGGGAGTCGTATTTTCCACCTGTCCTTCTCTCGTGGATGGTAGATGCACACACACGCGTGTGTATGTGTGGTGGTGGTGATACATGTTGATGATGATGCACCAGCTGTGTGTTGGAAGACCTGGTAGCCATACGGAAACTGAATATTTCCCACCGTGCTGTGCAAGTACCTCTTTCTTGTTGTCCACTTCACGGCAGGTAAGGGTGTAGGTTCATGACTTGCTGCTTCAGCAGCTCAAGTGACTATGGCTCGACTATATGAGCAGACGAGAGACGATACGGTTTGATGCTGCCCTTAACTGCACAGCATGGAGAAGAGGCTGTATCTTAACTAGATTCTTCCAAACCCACAGTTCCTTCTTACTCTAGAGCTACCTCTGTCGTTAAGCTCCATTCCCAGTAGAAAAAAAAACCCCAACAAACCATTCGGTAGCGAAATGGAAATATTCCATTTAAATGTTGAATTTCAATCACCTAATGATGTCTGCTGTTAAACGATCATTAGAATTAGCGTGGAGGTCTCTTCTTATTGCCATTTAAAGCCTGATCAAGCATTGAGATGGTAAATTACTTCTTAGCAACCCTTGAGTCTTCATATACTTTGCAAAAACATAAAATGCCATCTGTCTTTGTAGCCTGGTGCCACAATATAATTTTGTATAAAAAGATCTCCAGCTTACAGGAATTACGATTGTCATAAATACTTGGTTTATGTTTAAAATTCAACTATTTGTATGCATGTTTAGTATCAGAAATGCCTTATTTGTTTTGAGTGGAAAACATGTACTTCATTTCCTATCCAAGAATAACAAGGCTGTGCACAGGTAAACCGTAGTGGGTGTGGTTTATTTTAATGGCAGATTCAAATTTTTATTTTATAGATAGATTTTTATTTACAGTTTGTACATTATTTCATGTCTGCAACGTGCTAGGGGTAGTCTGAAATGAAAGCCTCTGCGTACATGTAAAATCATTATCGTTAGCATTTGTTCAGCAAGGGCAATACAATCGAATGGCGGAATGTTACATGTCCTTTTTCCCCGAATGCAGTTGCTGTTTAGCTTGTGCTAATGATTTCGTCTCGCTTGAGCAGCTCTTTAGTCATAGAAATGACAGCAGCAATCATCATGTGAGCATCTTTGTTGTTGCGTGTTTCAGCTGAGAATATGAGGTACGCGTAGACGCTATATAAGCAGGAAATAACCAGCTTCTCCTTTTCTTTCTCTTTCCAGGAATAGTTTTGGATTCCGGGGATGGCGTCACACACAATGTGCCTATCTATGAGGGCTATGCCTTGCCTCATGCCATCATGAGACTCGATCTGGCAGGCAGAGACCTGACTGACTATCTCATGAAAATTCTTACGGAGAGAGGCTACTCTTTTGTCACCACTGGTAATGAGTTGTGCCTTGGGTGCAGTTTGCAGACGCTTGCTCTGTTAGTTGTCTTATTGTGCAGGATGCGTGTACCTGGTGAGATGCATCAAAATCCCTGTCGCTGTGTTGGCCCGGGAAAACCAGTTCATGTTAGCTAATGGGATTCCTCTGACTTCGGCTTTCAGCGTGTATGTTGAGCGTCAAGGACAAGGATGCCACCTCATTAGGAACTCCTAAGTCACTGGCAAATTTAACAGGTTATTGTGTTTGATCGCACCTCTTCCACAAGGGAAGAAAGTTGGTAGCTGGCAATGGATGAACCTCTGGAGACTTGATCAAAGTTTTGTGATCAGACATGTAAACTTTAATCTTTATCGTATTCTGTAGTACAATCTATCTTTTATTTGCTAATGAGGGAAACCTGGTAATGCAAAAGGAAAGTAATGTTTTTGAGACAACAGAGAGGTCAGAATCCCATGGACCGTATGACCATCATGAACTTGGGGAAATGTGTATGAGAAAATCTGTGTCCTGGCTGTCATACTGTATGTTGATTAAAAACTTGTTGGCTGTCTGCAGCGGAACGGGAAATTGTGAGAGACATCAAGGAGAAGCTTTGTTACGTGGCGTTGGATTTTGAAAATGAAATGGCAACTGCGGCTTCCTCCTCCTCCCTTGAAAAGAGCTATGAGCTTCCTGATGGACAAGTCATCACCATTGGGAATGAGCGGTTCCGATGCCCAGAAACTCTCTTCCAGCCATCCTTCATAGGTGGGACAGGACTTTTCTTTCTAGGGGCTTGACAGAGAATGGAAAAGAAGAATTTCTTAGGAAGTACAGACAACCTTCAGCTGTAGGAAGTGGGTATTCGTTCTCAAATGTCCTTAGAAACACGCAGCTTCTACCGACTTAATCAGTTCTTTAGATGCTCTGGACACTGCTGCTACAGCTGATGGACAAAAAGGTGCCTCTCACTTTAGAAATACCTGAATCCTAAGATGATTTCAACCTCTTATGAGTGCAGTAGAGTTCCTAAGGTGATGTTTTAGAGTACTGTCAGAAGATCATGCTTTTTGTCTGGAGTAGCTGAAACCTAACTGCACAGTGCTGCTTTATGTGGGTTTTTTATCTAGGTACTGCTTCTGTTTATTCTTTTATTATATTAGTCTGCAGTTTAATCATACAAAATCAAATCATACACTATTTTCCATAGCTTCATCTGTAGTGTTAAAATTCCCATTCTATCCAGTGGATGACTGACACTTTATGTGGTAACTCGCACTGCCCTCGCCAATTTTGCATTTCCCACTTCAGTTCCACTCTTGAGGACTGGGCAGAACGGCTGCAGGCAGTTTGGCACGCTTTGCATTAAACTAAGCGGTGAAGCTAGCTACGTTTGTGCGTAGAAAGCAAGCAATTCAAGCATTAATATAGCTCCAAGTTGTGTACGTGAGCGTCGGCAGGAGAAATTCTCTTTAGAAGGTAGAGGCATTTGGCTACCAGAAGTGCAGCGGGGATCGCGGTTGGTGCTAAACAGTGGTCAGTATCAGAAACGTAGCGATGGAAATCAGGATTTCCTGGATCACAGATCTTTGTCAAAATGTGCATGTTAAGCTAGATAAAAAGTCTAGTACTTAACGGTCAAACTGTATTCTCCACGTTGCATTTGGTCTGTTCCTTTTCTTTAGCAAAAAATAGTGCCGTAAGTTAGCTTTACTGTACTGGTATTCCAGCTAAACCAACACCTCAAAACCAAGGTAGCTCACGGAAATGCCATGTGGGCTTCTACTTCCAGCTAATGGCATTGTAAAAAATTATAAAAATGGCAAACTATTGCAGTAACACCTCATTTTAAATTTTTCCTTAAATAATGTGTTTTTTGGGGGTTTTTTTTGTACTGGAGGAAGTGAAAACACCCAGTATGAAACCATAATGGGGATCTTTCTTTCCTTACATGTGTATTTTACTTGTGTAACTATTATGCTGAGATGACAAAGAAGGTGAGGAGTATGTCCTGTTTTTCTCCTTTCTCTCCTAAGCATCACATAGCTTTTTTTTTTCCCCAAAGAGTTTTAAGGGAGACAGCTTGGACTAGTGAGCTTTACTTTCATTTTAGCAGTAATAAAAAGAAGGGATGAAGAAAAATAACATCTTGAAACTGCTTTCCACTCAGGGATGGAGTCTGCAGGTATCCATGAAACCACTTACAACAGTATTATGAAATGCGATATTGACATCCGTAAGGATCTCTATGCTAATAACGTCCTCTCCGGAGGAACCACGATGTATCCTGGGATTGGCGATCGTATGCAGAAAGAGATTACAGCTTTGGCTCCAAGTACGATGAAGATTAAGGTAATTTTGCACACCTGCACTTATGACAAAAGAAGCTTTTGTTGGAAAAGTTATGCCTTATAAACAAATCAGAGTGTCCATAAGAGAATGTCCAGGTCTTGCATCCCAAGTCCTGACGTTAGGAGAGCCTCGGACAGCCTGCTTGGCACCTCTTTTCCTCCTACCAGCTAAAGCAGAATTAAAAGAGGAATTTGAGAGGTACTGGGATAAAAATGGTTGCTGAAACCGTGGGAGTTGGTGAGATCATTTTGAGTAGATGTGAAACAACAGCTAAGGAAGAGAGTCCTGTGGGATTCCCAATGAAACAGGGTTGAGGGAGAAAGGGGCTACCTGAAAGACACCACAGGAACAACAAGGGGTGAACCTGGAGGAGATGGAGCTGTAAATACTAAAGGGGGCATGAACAACTTGAGAAGATTCTGGGAATATTACAGACTTCGAGGCTTATCTATCGGTGAAAGTCATTAGTGAAAAGAGTGAAAGAAGTTCTAGATATGAGTTCCTTACTACTGAACCCAAAATCCAAGCAGCGTGCAAAGTCTGCAGCAACAAGCTGCTTCCAAGCTCTTTGGAAGGACCCTTTTGGCCTGGACTCAAGGTAGCGTATAGTGAAATAGGCCCTTTTTATCAGGCAGCAGGCAGGCTTATCTATCGGTGAAAGTCATTAGTGAAAAGAGTGAAAGAAGTTCTAGATATGAGTTCCTTACTACTGAACCCAAAATCCAAGCAGCGTGCAAAGTCTGCAGCAACAAGCTGCTTCCAAGCTCTTTGGAAGGACCCTTTTGGCCTGGACTCAAGGTAGCGTATAGTGAAATAGGCCCTTTTTATCAGGCAGCAGGCGACATGCTGAAGGGGCGGGAGACGGAGCAGCTAAACAGGAACAGGCAGAAGCAGGGGTACTCCCAGTGTATTTCAACAATTCAGTGGCTAAGGGGGGAATCAGCGGGAGGTCTTCTAGCTCTACATCTAGTGCTTGGATAGATACACAACGCCAGTGTATCTCAATGTTTTGGGTTTTGTTTTTTACATAAAAGATTTCTTTTATCCTTAAAAAAAATGCTCAGACCATTCTGTGCGGTGTTGTCCCAGTGGTCTGTCTTTACAGTCAAATTAAGTTAATATTTTAAAATTTGAAATTTTTTGCATATATGTTCATAATTTTGGGGTAGCTGTGTTATGGGCCACCTTTAGATATCTCATGGGCTGCCATATTTGTTTGCTTATAGTAATGCTGTAGCATCTCTATTGACTTGAGGTAGAAGACAAAATATGGCACCTCATCTTAGGGGCTTTACGTCATTTGAGTTGCCCTCTGATAATGAAAAGGCTTTCACCTAGTTATTTCATCCAAAGAAATGTTTACTGTCTTGTCTGCTTGTCACTTTATTTACAACAGATTGCACTTCTCTTCTAGATGATTGCACCACCAGAACGTAAATACTCTGTCTGGATTGGGGGTTCAATATTGGCATCTCTGTCCACTTTTCAGCAAATGTGGATCAGTAAAGACGAATATGAGGAAGCTGGCCCCTCTATTGTCCATCGCAAGTGCTTTTGAATACTTCCATCACGTACTGTCACTGATAAGTAGTGCTGTTTCTCTACGCATCACCTGCCCTCGTTCACCTCTGAGGGTGGTTTGGCTTTCTTCCACGTGTTAAAAAAAACACACTGTACGGCTGTCATGCGAATTAGCAAATACTTCTAATTTTCAATGCTAAAGTGAGACTAACATTTCCGTGATGGGTGTTTTTCCAAGCTTAATAACAGTAGTTTTGCTATACATTTGTATAGACCTGCCTTCCCCTCATTTCTGCGTGTGGTACCGCCATCCGGGAGGTGACGCACAGCGCTGCCGTGTGGTACCCTCTGCTAACCGATGGTGGCTGAAGTATGCACATAAGTGATTCTTCCAAACTCGAACATAACCCAAGATTGAGGTACCAGAGAAGGCTTATTTTACGCAGTTAAGTGGTACACAGGATTCATCTAAGGGGTTTTATTTTACTGAAGATACAGCAGATTTATGTGGGTACCAATGTGCACATGTTCTTTGGGTACCAGTTCTTCCAGTAGAGCTTGTATGGGTGTCTTCCCTTGGTACTACCAGGTCTTCCAGTAGAGCTTGTATGGATGCCTTGCCTTGGTACCCTGCAACTGTTTGGCAGGAGACCTTTGTCACCCTGTGACCACCACTTCCCATCAGCAAAGAGCTTCAACAAACTATAGTACTTCTGAACTTAACACGTAACGGGTTAATTTACGGGATGTATTAGTCCTTTCTTCATCTCTCTTCCCAAGCAGTTAAGCAGTTCACTGATGTTTCATCTACTTTTGCTATATATGTGCTATGCTAGGCTAAGCTAATGATTACAGAGTAAATAATGACCTTTTGAATATGTTATTAAAATATTCTGGGTTAATGAGTCAATAAAAGTGTAATTATCCATGTAAGGCTGCCGTGGCTTACATTAATTTCATAGTGACTAGTTTATCAGTTAAAGATAAAATAATAATTACTCATTTTTATTTTAATTTTATTATGGAAAAGCTTTAATTCCCCCTGAGTTTTCTAGCTAAGCAATTTAAAAATGAAAACAGAATTGTTTCACAGTTTCTATTTAAAAAAAAATAAATCTTTGTGGATGACAAATTTTCGTGATGTTCCGTATGAGGATTAGAGCCAGCTATGAAGATTTTCCTGTTTCAGATACCAGGCAAGTGTGTTCTATACGATTCTGGATGCTGTAGACTTTGAATTGATGCGATGTCAGGCTTGATGTGCGTTTCATGATTTAAATCAAACCTGTCAAGTTCTTGCCAGTAAACACAATACCCTCTTTCCGAAGAGGGGGAAAAGATACGAGCTGGGTTTACGGACTCTGAAAATGCATCTAGAGGATGTGTTAAAGATTCCGCTTACTACTGCCAGTTCCAACACAGGGTGATCTCATTTCCTTATCCAAATAATGGTAAAAGCTGAAAGACCTGTAAGGGAAGGATTCTTCAACGGTCTGCTGTAGCTAACACTACCTAATAAATAAAAGAGTCTGAGCTTACCTCCATTCCCACTTTTGAACAGGAGTCAGTTCAAATTGCCAGTATCCATGTCTTCTCAAGCAAATGTAAATCATTGCAGATTTCTCAGCCTCTGAATGAATTTTACTTTATTATCTGGGTCTCAGCTTATATGGTTGCTTGCTGCTTAAGTTGATAATAAGTCACCTTACATATAGGAATAGCACTTGTTGACTGGCCTTATCACCTGCCTAAGAAACATAACTTACATTTTAATCTTGACTTCTTGTAGGTGTGATGCTCAAGAGCATAAACGTAGGTACTTGGATCTCTGGAACTGAGTTACGTTTTCAGTCCCCTGTAGTACCAAAGCAAAATTCCATTCAGTTTGCTAATAGTCTACTTGTCCTTGTTTCAATATTAAAAATGAAGGATCTCCTTTAGATTTTCAAAAAGTTTTTTTAACATATCCATTCAGCATATGCTTACAGGTCGTTA